ACATGTACTACCCTTGTGCTGCCGTAAAAGACCTTCTCTCTCCACAGAGGAACAGATACACCAGTGAGATTGGCCAGGTACCACATGATACACTGATCTAAGCAGAAACAGAAGAGCATTCACTGAGCCTGAAGGAAAGACACATATCCCTACTCAGAGTGATAAGCCCAGCACTTTATCTCTTGGCAAAGGATGGGCTCTTTATCTCTTGGCAAGGAAGGGTTCCAAGCTCAAGACCCATTCTTCAGTGACTGAATGGGGACTGAAAGACTGTGCACAAGACTACCTTCCCAACACTAAGCCATAAAATAAGCCTCAATACATTTAAAGGAATTGATACCATACAAAGCATGTTCTCTGGCCACAATAGAATGAAATTAAAAATCAGTCACAAAAAGAAATCTTTGGAATTTACAAATATGTGCAAATTAAGTAATATGTGCTAAAACAACCAATGGGTCAAAAAATAAAGAATGGAAAATTGGAAAATGCTCTGAGGTGAATGAAAATGAAGACAATGGAATGCCAGTAAAGCAGGAATCAGAGGGAAATATATGATGTGAACATATGCTGTAAATGTTGACATTAAACAGGAAGAAATATCTCAAATCAGTAACTTCTCACTTCGAGTCAACTGACTCCAAATCAAATCAACTAACTTCCCACTTCAAGACACTTGAAAAATAAGGCAAACCAAACTTAAAAGCAGAAAAAAGGAAATAATTGGGATTAGAGCAGAAATAAATGAAACAAAGAATGAAAAAGCAGTAGAGAAAAACAATGAAGCCAAAAGTTGGTTCTTTGAAAAGATCAACAAATGTTTACCTAGACTGACCAAGAGAAAAAGTCAGAAGACTAAAATTACTAAAGCCAGAGGTGGAAGAGCATTAATACTGACCTTACAGAGATAAAAAGGTTTTAAAAAATACTATGAATAATTATATGCCAATAAATGAATAGCTTAGGTGAAACAAACTCCTAGAATATGCAAATATCAAAACTGAGTCAAAAAGAAATAGAAAATCTGAATGGATCTATAAAAAGTAAAGAGGTTGAATTAGTAACAATAGAACAACATAAAAAGAAGAAATACCAAATAGCATCATGAATGAGTTCTACCAAACATTTAAATAAATATTAATAGCAATGCTTCACAAACTCTTCCAAATAGGAGTCATATTTTATACATGAACCAAAATAAAAATGAGCCAAAAAATGAAATAAAAGAAATTCCATTTACAATAGAATCAGGAAGATGAAAACATTAATAAATTTAACAAAAAATATAAAATGTATACTCTTAAGACAGCAAAACATTGCTGAAAATACAAAGAAGATCTAAATAAATGGAGAATAAATCCTATGTTCATGATCAGAAACTTCATGCTGTTAAGATGGCAATACTCCCAAAATTGATCTACAGATTGGACAAACTTCCTATCAAAAGTAAGCTGGCAGAGAGAAGACAAGTATTGACTCTAAAGCATCTTGCTATGCTGATAGACAGTGTCTGCAATTGGAAGTGGGAACTTGATAGTATGGGTGAATGCTGAAACCACAATGTTATTCATGTGAAACCTTCGTAAGATTGTATATTAGTGATACCTTAATTTGAAAAAAATGTAAGCTGGCTTCCTTGAAGAAACTGACGAACTGATCCTAAAATTCATATGGAAATGCAAGGCACCCAGAACAGCCAAAAATGGGCAGATAATATGAACAGACAATTGTCCGAAGAAGAAATTCAGATGGCCAGCAGGCATATGAAAAGATACTCCACATCACTAATTATCAGGAAATTCAAATTAAAAACCACACCAGTTAGGATGGCCAACATCCAAAAGACAAGGAACAACAAGTGCTGGTGAGAATGTGGAGAAAAGGAACCCTTCTACACTGCTGGTGGGAATGTAGATTAGTTCAACCATTGTGGAAAGCAATATAGAGGTTCCTCAAAAAAAGTAAAAATATAAATACCATTTCACCCAGGAATTCTACTCCTAGGAATTTACCCAAAGGAAACAAGATCCCAGATTCAAAAAGATATATGCACCCCTATGTTTATCACAGCACTATCTACAATAGCCAAGATATGGAAGCAACCTAAGTGTCCATCAGTAGATGAATAGATAAAGATGACATGGTACATATATACAATGGAATATTATTCAGTATTAAGAAAGAAACAAATCCTACCATTTGCAACAACATGGATGGAGTTGGAGGGTATTATGCTCAGTGAAATAAGCCAAGCGGAGAAAGACAAGTGCCAAATGATTTCACTCACCTGTGGTGCAGAACAACAAAGCAAAACTGAAGGAACAAAACAGCAGCAGAATCACAGACTCCAAGAAGGGACAAGCGGTTACCAAAGGGAAATGGTAGGGGAGGGCAGGTGGGGAGGAAGAGAGGAGAATAAAGGGCATTATGATTAACACATATTGTAGGGGAGTCATGGGGAAGGCAGTATAGCACAGAGAAGACATGTAATGACACTATAGCATCTTACTACGCTGATGGACAGTGACTGCAATGGGGTGTGGGGGGACTCGATAATGTGAGTTAATGTAGTAAACGCATGTTGCTCATATAAAACTTTATCAGATTGTATATCAATGATACCTTAACAAAAAAACTGTAACAAAAGACAAAGAAGGTCATCATATGATGATAAAGGGGTCACTTCATCAAGAATATACAACTGTAAATATTGTGCACCCAACATCAGAGCACATATATTAAGCAAACATGAACATATCTGAAGGCAGTAACAGACAACATGACTAATAGTAGGGGACTTTCATGAATAGAAAGATTATCCAGGTAGAAAACCAATCAATAAGGAAACATTTATCTTAAACTGTACTTTAGATCAAATGGGCCTAACAGACATATTCAGAACTTCCTATCCAGTGGCAGCAGTATACACATTCTCAAGCACACATGGAACATGTTCTAGAATAGACTATATGTTAGTTCACAAAACAAGTCTCAGCAAACTTAAAGACTAAAATCATATAATATATCTTTTCTGACATATATAAAGCAAATATAAACATATCTGAAGGTATGAAACTAGTAATGGTATGAAACTAGTAATCAACAACAAGAGGAAAACTGGCATATTCACAAACAATGGGAAATTAAAACTACTGAAAAACAGTGGGTCAAAGATAAAACTAAAGGGAAATCAAAAAGTATCTTAAATGAAAACGGAAATACAACATAATTGTATGGGATGCAGCGAAATCAGTGCTAAGAAGGATGTTTATAGCAATAATAGGGGAGTGGGTGAAATGGGTGAAGGAGGTCAAAAGGTACAAATTTCAGTTCTAAAATAAATAAGTCCTGGGGACACAGTGCACAGTATGATGATTATAGTTAATAATACTGTATTGTATATTTGAAAGTTGCTAAAAGAGTGGGTCTTAAAAGTTCTCATTGCAAGAAAAAAATTGTATTATGAGTAGTGATGGATGTTAACTACTGTTATTATGGAGATCATTTCCAAATACATGCAAATATTGAGTCATTAAGTTGTACACCTGAAACTAACATGTTGTAGGTCAACTATACCTCGATTTTTAAATTTTAGTTTAAACAATAAATGTTTATTAAATGAAGTTACTTAGTGAATGTTCAATATAAGAATTGGGAAGATCTTCCTAACTAAAGTGGAAAACTTAAAATCCATAAGAGAAAAGTAGACATATTTTAACATAGAAATTTTTAAAATACTTTTATATGGCAAAATGTACCATATACAAATCAATATAAATTATAGAGGAGGAAAATGTACTTGTGATATAGGGGGGAGATAAAAGTTAATATCAATATTTTACAGAGAAATTTACCAAGTTTAAAAACACAGTCAAGTTTTTTAAATTAAAAAATGGGTAAAGAATTTAAGTGATAAATCAAAGAAAAGCAAATACAAATGATTATATGTTCAAATTCACTAGTGGTATATAGGAATTAAAATTAAAGTAACAATAAGATATCACTTTATACAAATCACACTGACAGAGTGTAAGAACCCTACTTTTTGGAGATAAATGGGATAGCAACCTCAACCTCTTGGTAGAAACTGAAAGTACTACAAAATTCTTAGGAAGTAATCTGTCAACACACTTCAAAATCAAAACTATTAACCTTTCATGCATTAATTCCACATCTGAAAACAAATTTTGTGAAATAAAAGCACCAATATTTTAGGAATGTGTAGAATGATAGTACAGCACGATTTATGAAGGCAAAAGAACACTTGAAACAACCTGCCCATCAACAGGTGAATAACTGAATAAATAAACAATTCTCCCACACTGTGGAGTACTATGCAGCTAGTAAAACTATCAGAGTCTTAGGGATTTCTACAAGGTATTGCTGACTGAGGAAACACATCATCTGTACTAATAAACTTTTGAAAACAAGTAGTAATAACAAAAACCCACCAGGTATATGCATGTATATGAACAATTACGTGACTGCAAATTAAAATGTGACAGGAAAATCACAAGATTTCTCATATTGAATACTCAACACAGAAACACTGACATGCCCAGAGGAAATAGACAACCCAAAAGGATTTACTTTTAAAAATAAAAAAAAAGCACTTATGTAAAAATTACACTTTAAAACATGTATGGGTATATGTATAAATTTAAATAACATTCAAATATTGAAAATTTTATCATTACCTTCATTAAAACAAATGGTTACTAAATGCTTAAGTGCTCACAATGTGTAAATGTACTCACAATACTTGTAAATGCTCACATTTACTTTCTAAACTACAAAGAATTCACCAAAAAAATATTAGACATGTGGACAATTTATTGTTTATGCATTAAGATTTAAATAATAAGCATAATTAAACGTACAATGTCGGTTAACACTCATTAAATACCATAAATAAAATTAAAGAATCATCTTTAAAAATTTGAAGATTCTTAAACGGAACACTGTAGGAAATGCTAAAATAGTTTTAAATTCGAACTCACCTCTTTCAAATGTTTAGAATCTGCTTCTTTTTCACTTGTTTGTTCTGATGAACTCAGACAAGGAGGTAGGCTGGGGCTGAAGGCCATGAGGTCGGCCTTGGGCGGCCCCTCCCCAGAGCACACGCGCTGCCGCCTGGGCTGCGAGCACGACCAGCTCCCCACCGCGCTGGAGCACACCAGCGGGGGCCGCCCCGGCCCGCACGCGCCCTCGCTGCGCGGCGCCGAGCACCGCAGCGCCGTGTACAGCAGCAGCGTGAGCACCAGCAGGCTGGACACCGCGCAGATGCCGACGACCAGGTACACGTTGACGTCCACCAGCGCCGCCTCCGTGCTCCGGGCGCCCGACGACGCCCGCGACGACGCCCTGGGCGCCTGGCCGCTCTCCACCAGCGACAGCAGCACGGTGGCCGTGGCCGTCAGCGCCGGCTCGCCGTGGTCCTTCACCAGCACCAGCAGGCGCTGGCGCGGCGCGTCCGCCTCGTCCAGCGCGCGCGTCGTGCTCACCTCGCCCGTGTACAGCCCCACGCGGAACGGGCTGCGCGCGCCCCCCGCCGCCGCCTGCAGCTCGAACGACAGCCACGCGTTGTAGCCCGAGTCCGCGTCCACCGCGCGCACCTTGGCCACCACGTGGCCCGCGCCCACCGACCGCGACACCAGCTGGCTCGTCGCGCCGCCGCCGCCGCCCGCCCCAGGCGGCAGCAGCGCGGGCGCGTTGTCGTTCTCGTCCAGCACGAACACCTGCAGCGTCACGTTGCTGCCCAGGGGCGGCACGCCCGCGTCGCGCGCGCTCACCTGGACCTGCAGCAGCTCCAGCTCCTCGTGGTCCAGCGGCTGCAGCGCGTACACCTTGCCGCTCTCCGCGTGCACCGACACGTAGCTCGACAGCGCGCGCTCGCCCACGCGCCGCTCCACCAGCGAGTAGGACACCCGCGCGTTCTCCTGCGCGTCCGCGTCGCGCGCCGACACCGTGAAGATGTGGCGGCCCGGCGGGTTGTTCTCCCTCACGAACACCGTGTACTCGGGCTGCGCGAACGCCGGCGCGTTGTCGTTCACGTCGGCCACCTGCACGGACACGCTGGCGGTGGCCGACAGCGGAGGCGAGCCCCCGTCCCGCGCTGTCACCAGCAGCTCGTAGGTCGCCACGCTCTCGCGGTCCAGGGCGCTGTCCAGCACCAGCGAGTAGTAATTCTTGAAGGTGGACACCAGCTTGAAGGGGACGTGGGGCGACAGGGTGCAGGTCACCAGCCCGTTGGCACCGGAGTCATGGTCGGACACGCTGATTAAGGCGATGGCGGTGCCCACCTGAGCATCTTCCCGCACAGGTAGTGACAGAGAAGTGATCGTAATTTCTGGGGCATTATCATTTATATCTAGTATTTCAACCAAAATGGTACAATGACCCGCCATTGGAATATTCCCCTTGTCAATTGCCTCCACAGGTATTTCATACAAGTTCTTTTCTTCGAAGTCCAGTTTACCTTTTGTCCTAATTTCTCCACTGTTGGGATTTATGATAAATGCATCTAACACTGCTGGAGATACAGGCCTTCTAAATGAGTAGATTATATCTCCATTTGCACCATCATCGGAATCTGTGGCATTTAACTTGATCACTAATGTTCCATTAAATGCACTCTCTAACACACTCACCTTATAAATGAATTGGTCGAATTCTGGGGCGTTGTCATTCACATCCAGAATTGTGATCACCAGTTGAACTGTGCCGGTTAGCTCGGGTTTACCCCCGTCATTGGCTGTCAATAGTAAACAATGTTCCTGAATTTCCTCTCTGTCCAATGATTTCCTCAACACAAGTGACAACGAAGACGTTTGTTCATGATTGTGTTTTGTGTCCAAAGCGAAATAATCGTTGGGATCTATTTGGTAGGTCAAAGCCGAGTTTACTCCAATATCTGCATCGGATGCGCCATCTAGTGGAAACCGAGTTTCCGGAGGTCTAGATTCTGCAATGATTATTGTCTTCTTACTTTCAGGGAACACTGGCGGGTTGTCGTTAATGTCCTTCACCTCCACCTCCACATGGAATACCTGCAGCGGCCTGTCCACGACCACCTCCAGGTGGATGCTGCACTCCAGGCGCCGCCCGCACAGCTCCTCGCGGTCGATCCGAGAATTCACAAACAAAATGCCATTCTGCAGATTTACCTCCAGAAGGTCCCCGCGGCCTTTGGACGCCACCCGGAACAGGCGCGGCACCAGCTCCGCCAGCTCCAGCCCCAGGTCCTGGGCGATGCGGCCCACGAAGGTGCCGTGTTTGGCCTCCTCGGGGACCGAGTAGTGGACCTGGCTGCTGCCCGCCTCCCAGGCTGTGAAGAGTAGAAGCGAAAGCAGAAGGCGCTTGACTCCTGGTCCTCCTCGCCAGGAAAACAACATGGTACAAAAGACTTCAGAGATATCTGAAGTATATAGAATACCTTACCTCAAAAAGACTCTTAAGGTCCAATTTGCGACCTTCTATTGCAGGAGGATTCGCTAAAGGTTTTCCACTATTTGCGAAATTTTCTACAGGAAGAAGCCGGGGCGCTTTCTTTGGGGAAACATTCTCAGTGAAGAGCGACACCATGCGCATTAATGTGTAAGTGTAAATATGACTCCATATTTTCCGTTGATAAAGGCTTTTTTCTTGCACTTGATGACTTTTTTCATTGCAAATATGTAATTGAAGATTAAATGTTTTCTTTCCAGAAGTGGTAAATCACTGTATTTGGCCTAGCATTGGATGCTAGTTTAAAATTGATTGATGAGTTCCATTTTCCCACAAATATGTTTCTGCATGTGTAGAATTTCCATACAGAATTTTAAAAGGGGGGAATATTCTACATTTGCTTTTGGAAATCAGGATATAGTTCTGCACAGCTTTGTAGGTTTTGGCAAGAATATCCTTTTTCTGTAATGTTTTTTGAGACCTGTTCACGCAACAGCCATTGACTCTAACTGGAAACATAATCGATCACAAGAATAAAATGGGTGGATATGGAAAATATTGATAGTGAGTGATATAATTTTAAATAAATAAGCCACATTCACAAATTCTCCTGAAATATGGATACAGTAGCTGTATTTGAAGAAAGTGTTCAATGTGTGTGAAGTGTATGTGAGCATGTGTGTGCATAAACACACAATAATGCAGAACCTTTAGATATAACAAAGCTTTAAATTTCTGGATTCCCTTTGTATTAAATATGCCAAGAACTACCATCCTATGTATTTGATCAAATTTAAATTAATACCAATAAGTTAAACTTCCCTCTTATCCCCATCTCACACCATCACTTTTATGGGAAAAACATAACTATCACTTAAATAGACTGGTTTTCCAAGCAACAAGTAGACACATATGTTAACACATCTTTTGCAAGGAAGAGAAAGAGAGAATTTTACTTTTATCTGTTGCTATAACTATCCATACCAAGCACAAAGTTCAAGGCCAAATAGTACTATGAAAGATACAGCAATCGTTCCAGTAATTGTCTTACCTGTTCTGTGCACAACCATAAGAAATAATGAACCGTAAGGTTCATTTCTGTCTCTTTGCTTCCCTCTGAAAACATAAGTACTTGGTATTCTTTTACCCTCATCCTCTAGTCCAGCTCCACTAACTGTATTAACGTAGCTTCGCTCTTAGACTGTTCCCTTGAGTCCTTCTAATTGTTTTTGTCTTTCAATGATTTAAAACATGCCCGACATCCTAGAAACACTCACCTACTTATATTACTCTTCTAACATTTTCTTTAGCTTCCAGAACACAGCTGAACTATATACTTTCTCCATTCCTCCTAGTGAGCTTCCCAGTATAAGGTAATCACTTAGCCATAGAGAGTACTCTCACCTTGACCTTGACTGGGTCATAATTGACTCTTCCCTCCTGCCTACAGAGATCCTTCCATATTCTCTTCCCTCTTTTCAAATTCCCAGCTTCCTTGCCCCCACCTGGTTCTCAGATGACTTAACCAGAGAGGTCATCAAATGGGAATTCAATGACTATCTTCTTAGATCAACATTTTTCTTTATATTTTCTATTTTTCATTTCCTACGAAGGAAAAATGGTCCCTACTTTTAAGGCCAACCCTTAAAAATTATTCTCTATTTTATCCTCATTCATATTTTTCATCTTCATCTTCTGCCTGTCTTCTCTTCAGTATCTTCTTTTCTTGCTTCTTTCTCTCACATTAACAAAAACACTCCAAATGTCTTTAACTAAAACATACAGTTGACTCTTGAACAACATGAGTTTGAACTGCACAGGTCCACTTACAGATGGATTTTTTTTCAATGAAATATTGAAATTTTTTGGAGATCCCTGACAATTTTAAAAAACATTTTCTTTTCTCTAGCTTACTAGTATATAGTTTATAATACATAAAATCCACAAAATATGTGTTAGTCAACTGTTTATGTTATCGGTAAGGCTTCTGGTCAACAGCAGGCTATTAAGTTTTGGGGGAGTTAAAATTTAAATGCGGATTTTAGACTGTGCAGGGGTCAGTCCCCCTACCCCTGCATTGCTCAAGGGCCAACTCTATATCCATATGTTTAAACTTTCTGCTTCTGGGGGTGCTGGCAAAGCCTTTTCTGCTTCTTGTTTACCTCTAACTTCTATCATTTATTTGGTACATTGCACTTTAAATTTTACTTCAGCAGTTTGTTGTTTAACTTCTTGATTTGAAGCCTAATGTCATAGGTTGAGTGATAGCCCCCTCCCCCAAAGATATGCCCATATCTTAATCCCTGGAACCTCTGAACATTACTTTATATGTCAAAAAGTGTGACTGAGTTAAGAATTTTGAGAGGTGTTTATCCTGGGTTATACAAATGGGCCCTAAAGTGCAATCACATGTATCCTTATAAAACAAACATGGAAGAGAAGATGTGAACAAGAGTCGGCAATATGACCGTGAAGATGAGAGAGGTCTTGAGTGGTGTGTCCACAAGCTGGAATGCTGACAGCCATCAGAAGTTGGAAGAGACAACAGATTCTCTCCTGGAGTTCCAAGGGAGGTACAGTCCTGATTTTGGACTTCTTGTCTACAAAAATGTGAGAGAATAAATTTTCCTTGTCTTAAGCCACCCAACTTTTGGTAATTTATTACAGCATCCCCAGGAACTAACACACCTACCCACCTAAATTCTTTACTTGGATACACTAATTTTCACTTTCAGTATCTCTTCAGTGATTTTATCCTTTCATGTATTTATTTTTTTCCTTAAGGGATTTATTCCCAAATCTGCATCGATCATCTCCCCTGTGTCCCAGACCCATATTTCCAACCACAGTGGCTTTCTCCTAGAAGTTCAAGAGTAACATTTCTTAAATGTTCCTCTGTTTCCTTGGTGCGCAAGCATACAGTCTCTCCAACTCCATTCTTCACCTCAGTTAATGGCAATCTCATCCTCCCACGTGACCTAAGACAGTTGGTGCCATCTTCTACTACTTTTGTCTTTCTTCTAGCATTTGTATTGAGTCGGTCATTATCAGGCTGCTTCTACTTTGTCAATGCCTCTTGTACATGTTTTTTAATCCATTTTGACTGTCATAATTTGCCTCTTGATACCTAGAGTATTATACAAGATTCTTTCCTACCTTCAGAATCTCCCCTGCTCAATCCTTCAAGTACATATTCACTAGAGCAAACTATGCTCATTTATTTAAACTTATCTATCCATCTGTCATACCTTCTTGTTGAAATGTTATCTATCCCTCAAGGCATTCTTCAATAAAATATTGATTAATCTCTGAAGCCCATTCCTACTTCTAACATAGAGGGAATAACCCAGGTAGTTTATTTCAATACAATGTATTTATTTAAAAATTATTAATTGAGCATATGCTGTATCCCATGTGCCAAACTAAAGATATGTGACAGAGTAGTAGGCAGAAGGCAGGAAAGTTTAATACCTTCATCAGAGTGATGGATTTAAGGCTTTATTCTCTGGTCAAAGAAACGCCTCTAGATGCTTTTGTGGAAGAAAGTTACAAGATGTAAAATGCAATTGGAAGATTCACCTAATAGTCTCAGAGCAATAGTATATCCTAACGGGTTTGGGACCCTCCAAAACAGGTTTGAGCCGCTTCTATCAATGTGGTTTTAACTTCAGGTTTCTCATGAGAAAAAGGCAATGATAAATATTGTACCTGCACCATAGGACTGATTTGATAATTAAATGAGACAATGCAATTAAAGATCTTAGCTTGGGTCCTGGAAAATAAGAGATCAATAAGTATTCTTATATTTTGTTGAATTAAAAAATGCCATTAAGTGTAAGATGTACTTTTACCTATGTGCTACAAAGAAAAACAGCCAATTAAATTATTATAAACCATCAATTATAAGCTACAACCTGATTTAGGTGGATATGATAATATTCATAATATTTTAAATAGGAAATTATTACTTTTATTTAATTAAGGATAGTACAGGAGTCAATCCCACTTGAATGAAAGCACTCCGTGCGAACAGCAGAAAATTATTCATCTTAGAATTAATAACAACTAATTTTATTATTGTTTAAATACATGAAGAGAAAGTATACTGAAATAAGAATAGTGACACACGAAGCTATTTTACAAACCTATGCACAAGAGGAACAGTACATGAATTCAGTTAATAGTATCAGGAAACTCTTTGTACTAATCTTGCAAATTTTCTCTAATCATGAAATTAAGTTTGCATGAAAACTAAACTTAAGAGTTATCAAATAATTAGTTCATACTGTAATGCACTATTCTTCAAAGCTAGTAATTCCTAGGTAATAGGAAAACTGATAGACAAAATTTTACAGTGTGTTGATCCATGGCCTTCATTACATCTATTTCATTCTTTAATGCATAAAACTTGGACAAATAAAAAGTTCTAAGTGATAAATGATTACACCATAGAAGAGAAGATATTTGATAGTTTAAATTATAACATTATGAAGAAAACAGAAAGAAAAGGAGAATCTATTGATACACCAAGAGCAAGTTTTTAAACGAAACAAACATACTTAAATTATATAAATGACTTACTTCACTGGAAGGATTTAAACAATCTCCTGTCTGTGGAAGGCTGGGGCTGAAGGCCATGAGGTCGGCCTTGGGCGGCCCCTCCCCAGAGCACACCCGCTGCCGCCTCTGCTGCGAGCACGACCAGCTCCCCACCGCGCTGGAGCACACCAGCGGGGGCCGCCCCGGCCCGCACGCGCCCTCGCTGCGCGGCGCCGAGCACCGCAGCGCCGTGTACAGCAGCAGCGTGAGCACCAGCAGGCTGGACACCGCGCAGATGCCGACGACCAGGTACACGTTGACGTCCACCAGCGCCGCCTCCGTGCTCCGGGCGCCCGCCGACGCCCGCGACGACGCCCTGGGCGCCTGGCCGCTCTCCACCAGCGACAGCAGCACGGTGGCCGTGGCCGTCAGCGCCGGCTCGCCGTGGTCCTTCACCAGCACCAGCAGGCGCTGGCGCGGCGCGTCCGCCTCGTCCAGCGCGCGCGTCGTGCTCACCTCGCCCGTGTACAGCCCCACGCGGAACGGGCTGCGCGCGCCCCCCGCCGCCGCCTGCAGCTCGAACGACAGCCACGCGTTGTAGCCCGAGTCCGCGTCCACCGCGCGCACCTTGGCCACCACGTGGCCCGCGCCCACCGACCGCGACACCAGCTGGCTCGTCGCGCCGCCGCCGCCCGCCCCAGGCGGCAGCAGCGCGGGCGCGTTGTCGTTCTCGTCCAGCACGAACACCTGCAGCGTCACGTTGCTGCCCAGGGGCGGCACGCCCGCGTCGCGCGCGCTCACCTGGACCTGCAGCAGCTCCAGCTCCTCGTGGTCCAGCGGCTGCAGCGCGTACACCTTGCCGCTCTCCGCGTGCACCGACACGTAGCTCGACAGCGCGCGCTCGCCCACGCGCCGCTCCACCAGCGAGTAGGACACCCGCGCGTTCTCCTGCGCGTCCGCGTCGCGCGCCGACACCGTGAAGATGTGGCGGCCCGGCGGGTTGTTCTCCTTCACAAACACCGTGTACTCGGGCTGCGCGAACGCCGGCGCGTTGTCGTTCACGTCGGCCACCTGCACGGACACGCTGGCGGTGGCCGACAGCGGAGGCGAGCCCCCGTCCCGCGCTGTCACCAGCAGCTTGTAGGTCGCCACGCTCTCGCGGTCCAGGGCGCTGTCCAGCACCAGCGAATAGTAATTCTTGAAGGTGGACACCAACTTGAAGGGGGCGTGGGGTGTTAGGGAGCAGGTCACCTGCCCATTGGCGCCAGAGTCAAGGTCGGACACTCTGATCAAGGCAATGACTGTGCCCACCTGAGCGTCCTCTCGCACTGGGAGCGACAGCCAAGTGATCATTACCTCGGGGGTATTATCATTCAGGTCTAGAACTTCTACCAGGACCGTGCAGTGACCTTCCATGGAAGGAATCCCTTTATCAATGGCGTTAACTTGAATTTCATACTCATTATTCTCTTCAAAATCCAGTTTCCCGTGAATTCTTATTTCACCTGTTTCTGGATTTATTGAAAATATACATTTGTCACTAGCTGGTAAAATGATTCTTATTCCATAGGAAATTTCTCTATTCATTCCTTCGTCTAGATCTGAAGCGTTTAGTTGAATCACTCTTGTGTTGTTTTGGACATTTTCAAACAGCACTACTTTATAGCCCGGCTTATCAAACTCCGGAGCGTTGTCATTCACATCCAGGACGGTTATTTGAATCCTAACAGATCCTGTTAGCTCAGGTTTACCCCCATCCAGGGCGGTCAGCAACATATTAAGTTCTGCCGTTTCCTCTCTATCCAATGATTTCTTAAGAACTAATTCAGGCAATACAATTTTATTGTTTTTCGTTATTGTTTTAAGAGTAAAATATTCATTTAGACTTAACCTGTAAGTAAGAAGAGAGCTCTCGCCGATATCCGCATCAGAAGCTCCCTCTAGAGGAAAATGAGAGTCCAGAGGTGCAGATTCAGAAATAAGTACTTTTTGTTCCCCTTTTCTGAACACGGGCGGGTTGTCGTTAATGTCCTTCACCTCCACCTCCACATGGAAAACCTGCAGCGGCCTGTCCACGACCACCTCCAGGTGGATGCTGCACTCCAGGCGCCGCCCGCACAGCTCCTCGCGGTCGATGCGAGAATTCACAAACAAAATGCCATTCTGCAGATTTACCTCCAGAAGGTCTCCGCGGCCTTTGGACGCCACCCGGAACAGGCGCGGCACCAGCTCCGCCAGCTCCAGCCCCAGGTCCTGGGCGATGCGGCCCACGAAGGTGCCGTGTTTGGCCTCCTCTGGGACGGAGTAGTGAACCTGGCCGCCCCCTGTCTCCCAGGCTGCGACGAGCCCAAGCGAGAGCAGCAGACTCCAGGCTCCTGGGCCTCCTCGCCAGGAAAACACCATTGCAGATAGGGAGATCTCTGAGGCGAGACTGTCAGGTTAAGGGATCATTCGCCTGCGAATCTTTATGAGACGTCTCCCTTTTCTATAAGTATATATTTAGTAAATTTTACCCAGCATTCCAGTCAATATGGAGTCAGTTCTATTCTGTGAATGGTTGGAATCTAGGCGCTGAGACGAAATTTTCCTTTTTCACCTTCTGAGTATACAGCGACATCAAGTGACTGATTATGTAAGTACAGAAAGATCCTGAGGTTCTTTTTAGTTTAGCCACTACCGGGGTCAGTTTAAATTCTGTTCCAACTTTTGGTTATTTTCATGGATCATTTGTAAATGCCTATTTATAAATGTGATATAAGTAACATAGCACAAATACTTCCATCACACTGCAGTTTGTAAGATACTCTACTTCAAAGTTTATCATAAAATAATCATTGAAATACAGTATGTCAGAAGTTACTCTCAAACTATCATGGAGAATAAAATTAAGATTAATGTACATCACCCCACCCTTATATTGCTTATAGTTCACACTTGTAGCTTTTTCCTTCAAAACACTGCATTGTAGGACTTCAGGAGAAAGAATCCCCCCCCCCAACCACCATTTAGTAATGGGAAAAAACTAAAATATTTCTTTTAAATAAATATTCCATTCATATAAGTTATTGTATTCATAAATCTGGTGAATATTGGAATTCATCATAGGTGTAGATGTTGTTGTTTTGGTTCCTTAATGCTCAAATGTGATGACTCTATACACAACTGTCATTCCCATAACATGTTAAAATGAGACTTGGGTAAAGACTCTGCAAAGTTTTGCTCTAGCGGGAGTAAAGTGTTTTCATATAAAATGTTGGGTCAAAGCCTCAAAATGTCACAATATTCTAATGTGGCGAAGGAGCACTAATATGAAAAAGATCCCATGAAATGTTCTGGATCCCAGTCTCATTGACTTAAGTCAAAAGACTATGAACTTTATAATGACCTTTTGGTTTCCCTTTAAGTCTTTCCCTTCAAGCCAGTTAGTAGTTACTCAGAATATGCTTCTCTTCAGAAAAT